TCCAAAGAATAAATCAGACAGGTAGTGTTTTGCTACCTTGTTTCCTTCAATTAAAAAAAAATTCATGCAGTAATCAAATATCAGACCATTAATGAAGCTTTTTACTTTTTGTTAAAAATATAGTTCTGATAAAAGCATATTACAGATAATTTCAGGGCTTAGAACCTGATCTCATATAGTTTAAAATAAAATAAATTTTCTCCGCATTAATCACAAAAATGCTAGTTGAGTAGTCTAATCATTTAATCTGGATGACTATTTAAATTCTGGTATTTTAAAAGACCTTTCTGGATAGGTGTGGTGATGCATACCTTCAGTCCCAGCAAAAGCAGAGGAGACCAGCCTGGTCTACACAGGGAGCTCCAGGCTAACTGGGGCTACGTGGAGACCCTGACTCAAAACAAAAACATAAATGAAAACAAACAAAAACTGTATGAATTTTTAAGTCTACCTCCAGAAATTTTCAGGTTATAACCTCCAGAAATAAAACTCATTATCTTCTAAAAGGTGAAAAAACAAAATAATCAAAAGTACCAAGAAAAATGAACTCATGTGACAAACATATGGTCTAAGTGAAGGTAGGTAAAGATGTTCACAGTGAGCATATATAATTTCTGGAAAGTTTACATGCTAATTCATTCCTAACTCTCAAAGCAATTCTTTAAGAGAAACATACACAAATGGTATTAGTAAGTTCATCAGTATGATGCTGTACTACTCTTAGTGGTAAACAATATACACAATAGGAGTCATATTTTAGTAAAAGAGAAACATTTAGGTAATAGTTTACTCTGAACAAATATTTTAAGTGGAAATGATTCAATATTGGTCACTGTTTCCTAGTACTAAAGTCTATTCATGTGATTAGTATATATGCTGGTCAGAGAAAGGAACAACTGAAAGAGCTATAAAACATGACAAAAATGGTTAAAAAAAGAGAGAATTGTAGAGAAATTCATTTTGTGGGTATGGCTGGAACACTAGCAATGCAATTCAGGAAATAATGAGGAAAAATTTTGAATTATGCCCAAGCAAGGGCTAATCAAGAAAGACAAATATAATTCTGAATGAGAAAATGTATAAGCATAACTCATGCTGTGAACAAATTAAACCATGTACTAATGAACTGATACTGAAACACACAAACTCCCCGGACCCAAAACACTGCATGTGTACTGAACCCCAAAGCAGTCAATAGACTATTTTATGAAAATACTAAGGCACACTCAACTAAATGAAATAAGACAGGGAGAGCATCATCAATCACTAATAAAGGCAACACCATCTTTGGTTTGGTACTGAGGTAGAGATGCAATGAATCACTGAAAAAGAAACACTATTAACATTCTTGGTTGATACTAAGTATAAGCTGCTAACTCACAAACTACTAAAGAGTTACTAGATTTATTAAAATAAATGTATGCGTTGCCTATATGTAAGGCAAATATCAACAGTTTTGTCAATGTTTAAAAATTTTTAAGAGATTCTACTCAGCAGCAAAGAAAGATAAAATGATGAAATTTTCAGGTAAATGGATGGAACCAGAAACTGTATACTAAGTGAAGTAACATAGACTCAGAAAAACAATGTATGTTCTCCCTCATATGTAGATCCTAGCACCAAATCCTTACATGTGAGTATGTATCCTGATATAACTGCAGGAACAGGATAATGAAAAGGAACCAGGGAGGAAAGGCAAAGAAGGCACCTGAGAGAGAACAGTAACAGGCGTTACTAATGGATAAAATGGGGGTATTTAAATGGGAAGGGGGAGGAAGGGTTATACAAGGAACTTTGGGGATAAAGGGAAAGGAGCTCATTAAAGGTGGGACCATAGGTGACAGATATTATCAAGGGAGAAACGGGGAAAATGGGGACAATTTACATGGGGAGGCCATGGTAGAAGGGTTAGAAAGGGAGAGAGAGAGGAGAGATAATGCCTAGCTAGCGTAAAAAACCAGAGGGAATCATATTATTCCAAGAACCTAATGACAAATTACACATACAATATCTCTACATGAGTCCATGTGTATAGCTAAAGGCTACATAATAAGAAACAGTGTCAGACAGGAGATACCTTCCTTTTGAGTTGTTGGCCAGGGTGGTCCAAGAGACTCCCAAAATTACACAGGCTATTTGCTACAGCCCTTGATTGCCTCCCAGAACTTGAAGGTAAGACTCTATTACTGAAAAAGGAACAAACTTTGGATACAGGATTTGGAACAATGGAGCTGGAACTGACCTGGAAGCCACTTCCCCTGGTGACCTCTCGTAGCTTTGGAGAGCACTACACAAGCTGCTAAGGGAGAGCATCAATCCATAGTCCAACACCAGTTCCAAGACCAAATAATGACATCGATGACTGATACAGCATACATTGGTGCAGCAGTGGTAGAGGCAATCAATACTATCTAATTGGACTAAAAGCCCACTCAATGGGAGGAAACTCATGTGTGGTACTGTAAACATAGCCATGACTAGAGAGGTCACAGACCTTAGAGAAAACCCCCAAACTGTTATATTCCTAGACTAAGGTAGTTTCTTACTACATGCAAAATAAGTATCCTTATATTTACAGACAAATATCCCAGTCACCACTCATCAAAGAAGCTTCTTCTGTGCCAAATGGAGACTAATAGAGTACCCCAACTAGTCACACACAGGCATTGTCTGTGAATTGTCCAAGCCTAAGTGGCACATCTACAATGCAACCTCTTCACTCAAGGCTCATGGAACATGGAACAAGGACTAAAAGGAACACTAATGAACTCTCAATTCTCATTAATGAAGCTCCCTCATGCGACAGAGGGCCAGAACACAAAAGGTCACAAATGGCCAAAGTGTAGAGATTAATAATCTACAGAATGCTGGACCTTGGACAGGACTCCTATATTAAACTTCATCCACTAAGGGCTCAGGGAGCATTGCAGGAGAGGGTGTAAAGATTGTAAGAGCCAAAGAGAAGATGCATGACTATATGGAAATAAGAGTCCTACAAGCTCCTGGGACGCTGCTCCTATGAACCTACAGAAATGGTGTCAGCATGCACAAGACCACGCAAACTCAAGCAGACAAAGACCCAACATGAACTGGGAAAATGGACAGCAGACCCCAATGTTAGTTGAAGAAATATTGGTAACTGATTACTACTGGGTGAGGAAGAGCTGATCTTCCTAAAGCGAGGAACTCTAGATAGGCTGACTAGATTTCAGTAGTTGAACTTGCACTGAGGAATGTCTGGGGACACTAACCTGACACAATAGGCCTTAACACAAATGACAGAATGTATAAATTCTGGTGGGGGGAGGCGGGCTGTGGAGGGTGCCAGTGGGGAAGGGAGTATAAAGATGATTAAGACTGACTGAGATGTTCTGTATGAAATATACAAAAAAATCAATAAAAAATTTAAAATAAAGAGATTTCTTTTTATTTTATATGTAAAAATGCTTTGCCCACATGTATGTTAAGCGCTACCATGTCATGCAGAAGAGGGAGCTGATCCCCTGGAACTGGAGTTACAGCCAGTTGTGAGCAGCCATGTGGGTGCTGGGAACTGAACCTAGGCCCTCTGCAAGAGTATAAGAGCTCTTCTGAGCTGTCTCTTCAGCCCCTTGCCTATATTTTGTAAAAGACCCCCCCACTGGAATTTAAAAAAGAAAATGGAAATAATATTTTATCTAAAATATTTAAAAGTACAGCAAAATGATATATAGAAAAGAAAGCTGGCCAGAAAAACTCAGAGCTTATATGAATAAGCTACAAAATCTCGCTGAAGGCAATCAATCCACACACACAAAAAAAGGGCAATGTATGGTGGTACACGCCTTTATCTTGGCACTTGGGAGGCAGAGGCAGGCCAATCTCTGTGAGTTCCAGGCCAGCCTGGTCTACATAGTGAGTTCCAGGCCAGCTGGGGCTACAGGGAGACCCTGTCTCAAAAAGACCAAAAAAAAAAAAAAAAAAAAAAGTAAATGTATGAGGAAACATACAACATTACCAATGCTTCCAAAACTATTAAATAAACATTCATAATTCTGACCAAAGTCTTAAAATAATTTATTGTTTTCTGGGAAAAATAAAAATATTAAGGCTTACAAAGTAAAGTAAGCAACATCATTAGACACGAGAGATGTAAATTTAAATGGGGAAAAATACAGATTGTTGAATCCTGTTTATTTTCTCATTTTTTAAGAAGGAAAATGTGTGAAGATGCGTATAGCAAGGCTAGATATACTGAGTATCAATAATATAACCTGATGAATAATATCCAAAGTTAGTATGTTCATTAGAAAATATACATTAAAACTCAATAAAATAAAAAGATATTTAATTGAATGCATGATGGAACAATAATGAAAACAACCCAACAATTACTGAACACCTCTACATGAGCTATTCAGAGAATCTTTTTTTTTAATCTTAAGAAGTCCTAAAGTGCTCCAGGTCTATTAAGGATTAACCTGAAGAGAGGAGCTAGTCAAGTTAAGATCACGTTTCTACTTAATAGGAAAGAGAATTTAAATAAGGAAGTAGTTAATTCATGGAAATAACACTTAGCCATTATAATGATATGGTTTAAGCTATGTTTCTATGTTGTAAATACTGCTATTGTTCTCATTCTATGATGCCATCTTATCTTTATAGTAAAATACTGATATTATTAGAAAAAAAATCTAGGCTTCTTAAGAAAATTCCTGACTCTATACAATACGGCTGTTTAAACACTATTCTAAGTTTGTAAGTAAAATGCATTAGTTCATGCATGTAAACATTTAGAAGAAAGCCAAGAAAAATCAACAAGCCCATCTCTATGTATTAAAGACAGGTGACAGAATAATGCAATGAAAGTAGAACACTAATCAATATTGGTGTACCTCTCATTTAGAGCCTAACAATGAAAACAAAATTTAAGATGACAAAGGTACTTAAGTCACTTTCAAATGGTCTTTTAGGCATGTTGATCAAAATTAAAGGAATATAAATCTATTTTTATTTCTTACCTGCACAGCCAAAAGCCAAATGGTATCTGGAGGAGGGGCTAAATTTCACGCAGCACACGTTAGCCTTTGCCTCAATGCTTGCAACGGAATTGTCTAAATTGGTAGACCACAGCTTCACTAAGGAAATGATGATGAAAACAGAAAGAAACAATACACTAAGCAAATGTTTCTGTAATTTGACAAGTGTGTTAACTTATATATCTTTTGTGTTAGTGTAAAACATTTTATTAGGACCAAAAAACTAATTGAGTAACATCTGAGAGCTTACTTTCAATGCCAAAAATAAATATGTAAGAGCAAAGGGCGTGCTGGTGCATGCCTTTAATCCCAGCACTTAGGAGGCAGATGGATCAGCAGATTAATCAGTCAGAGGCCAGCCTGATTTATATACTGAGTTCCAGATCAGCTGGGGTTGTTTACAAGGAGACCCTTTCTCAAAATAATCCAACCCTCCTCAAAAAAACCAACCAAACAACAACAACAACAAAAAGAAAACACAAAACAAAAACCCAAAATAAACATATGAGCAAACAATCTTACAATGGACCCATAAGACACAGGCATCCTGGATCTAGACAGTAAGTCCATTATGTGTGTATTCATCTATTTCAGTTATGTTAAGATAAAAAACGCCTCCAAAATACTCAGAACTCCAGCATGGACAGACCTGGGCTGCTCAAATTTGGTCAGAGGTTCTTTTTGCAGTGGGCAGCAGTCAACTGAGAGAGGCATAGAACTGGTCAAGGTGCTGAGAATAAGACTCAGTGCTCAGTCTTAAAGGGGACATGGATATTAAACACCCCCTTCTCCCAGCCACAGCTCAGGGAAAATCATGGAAGAGGAGGAGGAAACAATGTAAGAGTCAGAGGATGGGGAGGAGTACTGTGTAATGCTGTCTTTTGGACATTAAATGGCTACCATAATCATGATCTCATAGTAGGTACAGTTACCTGCACAAGACCCATACAAGATCAAGTTAGTCAAAATCCCAGCAGAGATGGGAGAGATGATCTACTTGTCAGACCTCATACTGAGGAGCTACTGGCAGTGGATAGTAGCAGGGCAGGGGTAGGGTGATAGTTCTTTACTGAGAATGTGACCTGGTGTGTTGCCCATGCTCTACCGTATGGCCTCATACCCATGGACACACAGGCAGCTCAAACTGGACACACGCAGGAAAAAAAAAAAAAAAGTGGCTGAAATAAGCTCAGCTGGGAGAGCGCAAGACTGAAATGCAGCAGAAGTCTTATCCATCTTTTAAACTGTTCCAAATGGGACTCAGATAACAGTGGGATTTGTTGTTGTCTGTGTTTTATTAAAAGGTCTCCAAGTGATTCCAACATGTATTTGGGGCTGAAAGCATGGAAAATTTTAGAACTTTCTTAAGGAATACTAATATAGAAGTAACTAAGAAGGGTTCCAACAAATAAGACTTCCATGAAAATGGATTTCATAATTTATATGTGAAATGAGTAGAAACTACTTGTTATTAAAATAAGCTTCAAATGACACTCCTGAGAGTATTTTAAATCTTTACTTTTTCTTGATTTCCACTTCAGATAACTTGCTACTGGTATGTAATCATACTACCGTTTTCTTTGTGCAGGTTTTATATTCTAAAACCTGGCAAAATTTATTAGTTTTAATAGCTTTTCTGGTGACATCTTCTAGAAGATTTTATACACGAGATCATGCCACCTGCAAAGAAGACAATTTGGCTTCACTTCATACTGTTTGAAATTCCTTTTTGTTCTTTTCCTACTGCTTGGCTGCTCTTGCTACATCTTCTAATACTGTAATGAATAAAAGTGATGTAAGTGGGCATTTCTGTCCTGTTCTAGACCTAAGATGAAAGGTTCTCAAGTTTTTTGATTCAGTATAGCTGTTGACTTATTATATATGGCCTTTATTCTGATCAAATATGTTTTCTTCTAGACCTAATTCATTCACTGTCTTCGTCACAATGGGATTCTAAAGATTTTCAAAAATGTGTTTCCTTTCTTATTGGGATAACCCTTTGATTTTGTTTGATAGTACTGAAAACTGAGCCCAGGATTTCACATATTAGGACATTACTCCACCATTCGGCTATATCCCCAGCCTGAGCATACACTTTAAAAAAAAAAAAAATTTATTTTATGTGTATGAGTGTTGTACCTGCATGTAAGTGCACCTGTGTTATGTAACACCTTCAGAGGCCAGAAGAGGGCATCAGATCCCCTTGGAGCTGGAGTTATGGATGGTTGTTAGTTGCCATGTGGGTGCTGGGAACTAAACTTATGTCCTCCAAGACAACAGTCAATGCTCTTAACCACTGAGCCATGTCTTCAGCCCCTGAGCATGTACTTTGTGTCTTGCACTGCGTTGGTGTTGTGTAACATGTTTACTGACTAAAATACGCTGAACCACCCTTCAATCTCTGGGATGAATTCCAGAGAAAATGAATAAATAACCTTTTGGATGTGGTATGTTAGTATTCTGTTGAGAATTTTTGTGTCTTTATCAATAAAGAGTATTACCAACAGTATTCCTTATTTGGTATAAAGATAATGCTGTATTTACAAAATACACTTGGAGCTGGGCTTGGTGGCACATGCCTTTGATCCAGCACTCAGGAGGCAGAGGCAGGCAGATCTTTGTTGAGTTCAAGGCTAGTCTGGTCTAATAGTTCCAGGCCAGCTGGGGCTAGAGGAGACCCTGTCTCAAAAAGACCAAAACGAACCCAAACGAACAAAATACTCTTGGGAGAACTCACTCCACTTCAATTTCAAAGTAACTTGGAATAAATTTAAGCAAAGAGGAAAAGAGCTCAACAATGAAAATTATAAAAGATTGCTGGAAAAAAAAATGGGAACATACACGGACATTTTGTGTTCATGACTAAAAGAATCTATTGTTAAAATGTCCATATTCCTCAAAGAGATCTACAGATTTAATCCAATTCCCACAAAAATATGAAAGCATTCTTCAAATAATCAGAAAAAACAATCCTAAAGTTATATGGAACTACAAAAATGCTCAACCAACCAACCAACCAAACTACCAATCTTGAGCAAAGTGAATAAGGCAGGAGGCATTATAGCACCTGATTATAAAATGTGGTACAAAACTAAAGTAGTCAAAACAGCATGGTATTGACATAAAAACAGGCACATGGATAGAACAGAAAGCCTAGAAATAAACTCACTCATATATAGCCAAAAATTTTTCAAGAAGGTGCTCAGAACACCAACTGGAAAAAGGAAAGGCTTATATCAATAAAAAAGGTGCTCCAAAAATTGTTTAGCTACATGCAGAAGAGTAAAAACAGACTTCATCTCTCACAAGTTAAAAAATGAACTAAGGGGCTAAAGAGATGGCTTAACAGTAAAGAGCACTGGCTGTTCTTCCAGAGGACCTGGGTTTGATTCTCAGCACCTACATGGAGGCTAACAACTATCTTTAACAGACATTCCAGGGGATCTGATTACCCCTCTTCTGGGCCTCTGCTGGCACTACATGACATGAGTATATTTACATAAAGGCACACAAAACACTCATACACATAAAATAAAAATAAAAAATGAACCAAAAATAGACAAACAGGATTGCATCAAACTAGAAACTTTATGTGTAGCAAAGGAAGCAATCATCATAGTGAAAGATGATCTATAGAATGGGAGCAAATACCCACAAAATTATACATATAATGAGGGCCTAATAACTAGGATATATAATAGACTCAACAGAAGGAAGGATTTAAAAAAATAGCAATCAATATAAATAGACATTTCTCAAGAGAACACAAATGGAAAACAGGTACATGAAAAAAGGTTCCATATCACTGATCGCAGAGAAATGCAAATGGAAACCACAATTAGTTATCACCTTACTCTAGTAAGAATGGCTTTTATCAAAAAGACAAAGGATAATAAGCACTGGTCATGATATAGAGTTAGTAGAATTTATAGCCATTTCTGAAAGCAGTGTAAGGTTCTTCAAAATATTAAAAATCGAACTACCATGACCCAGTAACCCTACTACAGGCAAAGAATGTGAGTTTGCTGAGGAGACTTCTGCACTCCCATGTTTACTGCAACATTACTTAGAGTGGCCAAGAAATGGAAACAATCTAAGTGTTCATCAACTGAAATGAGTTAATAAAATGTGGAACATATTTATAATAAAATACTATGCAGACTTAAAGGAAAATGAAATCCTGTCATCTGTGTCACAATAAATAGAAAAATAGAAAATATTTTAAGTGAAAAAGGTAGGCACAGAGACAAGTACTGCATATGCAAACTGAAAAAGGTAATCTCATAGAAGAGTAGAATGAAGGCTAATATAATGTAGGGAAAGAAAGGAAGTGAAATAGGTAAATTATTAAGTTACAGGTAGTTAGAACTAAGTTCTAATGTGCTATAGGGTGATTCAGTAACAATTCTGTATTGTATATTTCGAACACTAGAAGGGATTCTGAATATTTTCACCATAAGGAAATAACTGTGTGAGGTGATACACATGATAACTTTATTCATACATGTTTTAAGACATTATATGGCACTCTATTAATATATACAATTTTTATAAATCAGTTAAGGAAACAGTTTTAAATGATATAAATTCTAAGTAGATGGATGTACATTAAACATTGCACTTACAGATTACATTGTGAATGGACTTTGGTAGAATTATACTCTAGTAAGTCGAAGGTCACCTACCACAAATATATGGTGAACAATTACTATAATCCCATGATCCTCTAATGATCACTAAAAACCTTTATACATGTAAAGGTGTTACAGATCAGTGCTGGTGATAAATATAAGGTAGCATAAAACTGATCCTATACTAACAGAACGAAAGTTGAATAAAATTTACAGCCAATTTTGAAAAAGATGCATCTTAGCTCAGAAAATTGTTATTGAATATGTCAATGCTGTTGTAATGAAATGCTTCTTCTAAGTATGTGGTTATTAAATAAATAATTAACTGGGAAAAAAGTGCATCAAGTTTTTAAATTTTACAATTTTCTCAATTAAGCAATCATTAACATTATTCAAATAAGTCACAGTAAATAACCACTACCATTATACTTTTCAGTATTTAAGATACTTAAATTCAATATAACTGCA